CCTCCCTCAGCGTGCTGCGGGGCCTGCGGCGGCGCCGCGGGCGGCAGGCGCAGCTGCTGGGCTCGGCCGGCGGCGCCCTGGCCGGGGTGCCCGTCTCGCACTTCGCGGGCATCGACGGCGTCCGCGCTTTCCTGCACTCCTACTCCCAGGACGTGTCTCTCACGGCGGGCTCCAGGAAGAGCCAGCTGAGGTTTTCCACGGCAAGTTGTCCCAGCACCCTCACGCGCCAACAAGAATCGAATAAATCCGGACCTTTGTTAATTGCGGACGTGACAAATGTCTCTCCTGGAGATCGGAGCTTCGGTCAGGTAAGTTTGTCACCTACAAATTTTATTTTTCTGTAATATATTGTTGGATACCTATTCTCAGCTGTCTCTTCGAAATGTAGATTTCTACAACAGGAAGAAATGTGTGTGTTATTTTTTGTGAAAAGTTTTCGCAAATACTTCCCCCACCCCGCTTTTTCTTTTCTTAAATGTTAGTTTAATAGCATACCCTCGATATACAGTTTTAGCCGGACATTTGCTTTTTATTTTCCCCTTCCTGATATAACAACGGCAGACTGATATATTATCGAACTGCACGTGCAATCATCTTGTCAAGTATCAAGATTAGGTAATTTTGTTCTAACCCGCAAGACGCAAATTATTTTTTCTGTCATTGGGATTTACACCACCTCTAGGGCTCAGTTGTGAAATACTGTATTGGGCTCTGCTTGGCTGTAGCGTCGGATATACTTGTTGACGGTACACAAGGCCACAACTCAATTTAAAATGCCGGACATTCTTCCTTCTGAGTGTTGACTGCCCTGGGGTAATGTAGATCTGCTGCGGACAATCTTCAGCAGGGCTTGTTTATGAAATTTATTACATGTTCGCTGCTTAGACTGTGCTGCCCGGGTTGTCGGTGTTATTGTAAGTAGTGTCATTGTGTTTTCAAGGCCCATGTGACTTGATTCATCCTCACTTGACAGATCAGTTTCTCTAGTGTACACTGTCAAGATGGCTTGGATCTCGGGAGAGGAGGTGTGGGGCTGTAATGATATTTCCTAGCTCTGTGCACTGGCTGGGTATTTTAAGTGTTTTCCCAATGAGCTAATAAGGCAAGTGCTCACCTTGGGGCACAACGTTATCCTTTTTCATGTTTCTGTAGGAGGGTGGGTGGAGGTAAAAATACACGCATGCTTCCCTTTGCCAGATGAAGGGGCTTGTTCCCGAGTTACAATCCATCTTCATTGTGTTGTCATTTTTTAAGACAGCTGTCTGTCTTTTAAGGCTGGCACATAAAATGAGTCAGGAGTAGTAGGTACATTCAAATAATACATAAATACATAATATAGTCAAAGAATTTTTTGCAGGACTCAACTCAACATATGGTCCTCAGGATAAAAAATGTTTTGTTGTTTAAATAACGATTTTAACTGGTGATTTCTTATGTTGTGTTATGTTTCTTATCCTCCCATTAATTAACATATGGCAATTTTGATCAAACTGACTAGTCTTCCAAAAAAATTGTAAAATTAGGAAAATCTTATGTAAGTGGCTTTAAAAGTTTACCTGAGACTCATTTTTGAAGGTTTAAAATGCCTTTCATAAATATATACTATTACGCGTACTGCGTGCTGTCTCCATTAGTAAGTATGAAGCCTCACAGGGATAGATGAAATTGTTGGGAGAGGGAGTTGGATGAGAGAACCGAGTTCACCAATGTGTGCGTGTGGGCCAGGCGCTGCCTGCAGGCCAGGCTTACATGCAGCATTACCCTTCAGGCCATTACCCTACCAAACCTTCTAGCAGGGCCGTGTGGGGTTCATTCTGGGCTCTGGAGCCCTAATATATATATAAAAGCCCCGTTCGGCCATTTGCGCCCTTCGGTATTGTCAGTCAGTTCGTCATTCAATCTGACGAGGACAAGAAGTCAAGTACCATATGCAACAAAAATAGGGAGGCGGAACAAGAGGACATGACAGATGCTCATCATGCTTCTGCAAATCTTGCCCCTTAGGATGGTCTGTGCAATGGAACACAGATATTGGTGCAATCCTCATCAACAGCAGAGTACTTGAGGCAAACATGATTGATCAGAAAGAACAGTACTAATTCCTCGGATAGCACTGAAGCCCTTTGATGACACATTTCCAGTCACATGGACATGTGGACAGTTCCCTATGCATGTGGCATTCATCATGACCATCAATAAAGCCCAGGGGCAAACATTACAAAGAGTAGGAGTGTTCCTTCGGGATCCTGTCTTCACTCATGGACAACTATATGTGGCTGCTTCCAGAATCTCCCACCCAGAAAACATGAGATTTACAGTGACTGCTAACTTGAGTAACAAAACCAGGAATGTTGTGTATACAGAAGTGTTGTAAAGCTCTTACAGTAAGAAAGTGTGATATGTTTTAGGATTTTGTGTATGAGGAAGTGTTGTGAAGCTATTGAAATGCAAAAAAAAAAAGTGATCTCAAGCAAAAATTGGCTTATTGGATTTTTATGCAAGCAACGCTGCAGGGAGCATCTAGTAATATATAATTGTTATGTTTTTGCCTCGCTACATGGAAATGTTTTTCACGTAGTTCCTAAAAAAAAAGCAGCATTTCTAATTAAAATGTCATTTATTGTTCCTCCGTTCTTGGAGGAATTGTTACTGCGGGATAGGGTTGGAGTAGTGATTTGCGGGGAGCAGCGGTTGAACTGCTGCGGAAAACCCCCTGACACTATCATTACTCCTAAGTGGAGGCATTCTCTGTGCAAAACTTTTTCAATATACTACCATAGTTTCCTTTATTTCCTTCCTCTCTCTCCCCACCTTTTCTTTCCTGTGGATTTGCCAAATTCACCAAGGGTTTTTTTGGTGTGATCAGAACAAAAAGGATGCCTTATTTTAGAGTATTTTGAAATATAAAAAAAAGGCAAGGATTACTTAAAATCGTATCGTTTATTGGATGAGCTATATAGTTGGGCCAAAGTTACACAGACTTTTGATTGCAAGGCATTCTTTGTCATTTGCTGCTTAATCCAAGTTTCAGTTTTTCAGAAACCTCCTGAAATGGACATGGATTTGCCATAGGATACTAGCTCTCATCAGGCTAAGTCGTTGGATTTGGAAAATGAGAATATAGAGGGAGTAGGGGAGGAGAAAGAGAGAGCTTGAATAAGGCAGAAAGGTGACAGAATGAAGGAGCTGTATAGCACGATGGATAGGGAAGTTGCCTTCGAAAGTAGGTGCAAAATTTAAAATAAGAGATGACTAGATTTTAAATTCCCAGAGTCCAGTCAAGTGCTCTATTTCACTTAAATCTTGTTTAAATTAGTTGAACTTGAATTGATGACTAGACATCCATCAGGGAATATCAGAAAGACAAGACTTTTTTTTTTTTTTAATTTAGACAGGGGGCAAAGGGTAGAATGGAAGATCAAGGAGTCCTCAGCATGGAGGACACACTTGAATCAGAGTTTATGGAGAATATTACTGAGCCATAGGGTGGAGAAGTAGAAGAGAAAGGAACAGGGGATGAGTCTTATACAGACCAAACAGAAAATTGAACAGGGGGTAGGACAAGCCTTTGAGGAACAGGTAGAAGGATTAGTAAAAAAAGAAGGGCAATCAGGACCACAGAATCCAAGGGAGCTCGAGATTTTAAAAGCAGGGTCAATAGAGTTAAAAATGGCTGAGAGTTAAAAAAGAATGAAGTACTGGTTCTGAGGTGAGCTAAGAAAGAATAACTTTTATGAGAGCGATTTCAACGAATCTGAATTAAAGACTTTTGGAATGGAACTGGAGGATAGAAACTGAAGACAGCCTTTGATTTGAGGGCGGGGGGGGGGGGGGGAGAGAAAGAGCTGAGAGAGTGGTTCATTGGTGCAAATGGAGTCAGGGTGATTTTCTTAAAGGTGGAAGATATAAAAACATTCTTGCTGTAGTAGGGTTGGAGTGGTGTAGCCAGGAAATATTCAAGAAACAAGGTGGTTTTTTAACATATATCTTTTATTGGACCAACAGTATATTTGAAATAAATGTTAGACAAGCTTTGGGGCATAGGGTTCTTTTCTTCAGGTCTGGGGAAGAAACAAGTAGAGATAAACTAAAAATCAGGTTAAACGATGCCTATTATTAACACTTTATATAAAACAGAACAGGCACTTAAGGGAGAAAAGGGGTTGTAAACTAGGAGCACAGAAAAGTTATCAGAAGTAGCGTCAAAGAAAAAGAAGATAGGTTGACTAAACCTCTTATTTGAAGATAGGTTGACTAAACTGTGTAAAAGAAAAGAACCATTCAGAAAGGGAAAGGGTAGTTAAATCTCTGTGGTGTACTGAGCAGAAAGAAGAAACACCAGCTGAATGTTAATGTCATGGAACAATTGTCTAGACTCTGGAGGTCTTTATAGTCTTTACCCAGTCCTCATACCCAAGGGAAATCTACAAAACACCATCAGAAGACGGGCTTAGGACAAAAACTAATAATTTACCAGATACTAAACATTGCAGACTAAATATAGATTACACATAATCAAAATTGGAAAATGATTTACTGTATGCAACAACTACAGAAACCTCACCAAATGTAGGAATTTGGAAAAACTCTGAAGTGTGGAGATTGTGGTTCCAGAATGGGAAGTATCTACAAGGTCTGTTCAAAAAGTACCGAGACTGAAGTGTATTTGTGGCACAAAGTATTGGGCCGGGGGCATGGCTTTGCTGAACATGTCTGAGCATGTTGGGACTCCTCTGGACAGGTTTGCAGCTCATGGTCTTTCCCCAGTTTTCTGTGGCCAGTGGTTGAAGTAAGGTTGTTTGTGTCTTGCATCCCCTTTCATTATGGCAGTGTCCAGAACAATGCGTGTGCATTAAATTTTGCATGAAAATCAGGAAAACGGCAAGTGAAACATTTGAATGACTTAAAATAGCATTTGATGATGACACTATGAGCCGTGCAGGGGTTTTTGAACTGTATCGTCAGTTTAAAGAAGGACGATCATCGGTGGAATGTAAGGTTCCGGATGCCTTTCAACATCACAAATGCTAAAATGTGACAGCGGTTTGCAGTTTGGTTCGAAATGATAGGCGATTGACTGTCTGACAGATAGCAGAAGTTGGAATTTCTGTTGCTTTATGTCATTCAATTCTAACCAGCGATTTGGGAATAAAATGACCAGAAAAATGACCAGAAACGTGGGTGTCCAACTCCTGGATGCTTCACCAGGACAGTGCGCCTGCCCACTCAGCACAGCTTGTGAAGCTATTTTTAGTCAATTTTTAGCCAAACACGATATCCCATTAGTGCCGCAGCCTCCATATTCACCTGATATGGCCCCATGAAACTTTTTTCTCTTCCCTCAACTAAAGAAAACCTTGAAAGGAAGAAAATTTTGTTATGTGGAAACCATAAAACTAAATGTGGCTGAGCACCTTTTAGCTATTCCACAAATTGCTTATCAGAGGTGCTTCCAACAGTGGTAGAAACATCGGGAGAAGTGTGTGGCTGCAGAAGGAGCACACTTCGTCGGAGATTAAGCTCAAACCCCTGTAAATAAAATATTTTGTTTCCTACAGTAACAGTCTCGATACTCTTTGAACAGCCCTCATAGTCCAGGAAATAACACAATGACATGATTTTAATTCAGTGTCTTTGACACGTAGATATAGTGAGCAGCTACATAAATGTTTCCATTTAAACATTTTAACTCAAGACATTAACAATTACGCTCCATGCTTCAAGACAGCCAGCACTGATTTGGAAATTCTTGAATCGGCAAGGCCAAGTGAAGGATTTCCATTAGACACTGCACAAGACCCAGATGCTGGGATTGACTCGCTGCATAACTACCAGCTCATCAAGAACCAGTACTATATTTTATCACTGAAGGAAACCCCACACAGCATTAAGCATGCGGAAATAAGTTTAGAGAAACACTTGAGTAGAGAGCAGCAAAATCCCCATCAGTTGATCATGACAGCTATGAAAGGGGGAGATTCAGGCAGAACTGGGACTCCCAAGTTTAGGATTAATGTTGCTCAAGCTATTGACAATCTACCTGTATTCACTGAAGAGATCTACAAATTCCCCCAGAGGGAAAATCTATCAAATGGCTTGTTAGTGCTGCAGTTGAAAATCACTGCGAAGGTCTGAAATTCGCTGATGAAGGGTTGAATGCTAATATCAGTTAATTATACCTTCAAGGACACACTAGACAAAGAGCACCAGTTACTCCAAATAAATACTGAGAACAGAGAAACTATCACCTGAAATTTGGATTCTGTAGACACAAGCAACCACTTCTAACGGGGTGGAAGGTGGGGGGGCGGGGGAGGTGGGCTTGGTCCCTGCAAGGTCCAAATAAAAATTCTCGACGAGAATGACAATACTCTGAGTTGGTCTTCATTATCCTGCTCATCTCACTTCTCGAAGATGCAAAGGCCGGGTCAGTGGTAGCTATCTTCAAAGCATATGATCCACTTTCCAGCCAAAGCAGAGAGCACTCCAGTCAAATTCTGGACAATTTCCCATTTAAATAGGTCTGTCCTCCAAGAACTACTACAAGCTGGTGACCGCCGGCGCCCTGGACAGAGAGCGCAGCCCCGACTACAACGTCACGGTCACGGCCACGGACAAGGGCGCTCCGCCGCTCGCCACCACCCAGCCCGTCCGGCTGCAGGTCTCGGACGTCAACGACAACGCGCCGCTCTTCGAGGAAGCGTCGTACAGCGCCTACGTGGCGGAGAACAACCCGGCGGGGGCCTCGCTTCTCCGCGTGCGAGCCTCGGACCCCGACCTGGGCCGCAACGGCCGAGTCACCTACTCGCTGGGCCGCCCCGACGGCGGCGGGCGGCGGGGGCGGCGC